ACTCTGTCTCTGGTAAATTCTCTCACTGCCCCTGCACCTCTGGCCTGTATCCGAGTTCTGTATGCATAAATAATTTTTAAAAATCCTAAAAAAAAAAAAAAATACTGGTGAACTAAAGCATTAAAGACAACTGAGTCTGAGCTTTGTGGGTAGTAATTTCAAACCCTGATTATAGTCTATTCAGACTATTTATATTTGAGTCAGTTTTGGTGATTCATATCATTGTAGTTACTTTCCATTTCATCTAAGTTACTTATTAAAATACAGTTTAAAATATCTTCATCCCTTATCTTTCATAAGGTTGGTGATAACACCTCTTTCATTTCTGATTGTATTTACTTTGTAATTATAATTTATGTCCTCCTTTTTGCAAATGAAACTCTATCTGAACTATTTTTCATAGTACTTTAGTGTTCACAAATAATAGTAAGAGGCTGCATACCTTATTTCCTGAACACATCTCTTTGGAGGAAGATGAGTTAACATTTCCACTGTAATGCTGTCCTAAACACCTTTGGACATAATAGATTTCTTGGGTGAAAGACCTCATCACTGATTTCCTGCCTGGAGCCTGAGAGCACTCCCTGCCTGCTTTCTCCCTGCTAATCAGTGTAAGCAGGTCTGTTAATCCCTTCAAGATCCTCCTCTGAGCACTATCTTCTGCTTTTCTCCACACTAACAACTCTAGGTCATAGAAATGTGGGCAGGGGTACACAGTGTATGAAATTCTGATTTCTTTCCATTATCATCCACATAAAAAACAAAACTCCCCAGGCTGTTTCATGAAACCAAAAGCCTGCTTCTCATTCTTCTGATGCCATACAATTGTGTAAAATACAGTAAGAATGTCTTAATGACAGGAAACTGTTATATAAATATACAAATTATTTAATAACTTTCTTAGTTCACTAGTGTAGGAGGGCACAATAGCAGGAGCTAACAGACAATGCTGCTCACTGTGAGACTTGGATCAGGATACTGCTTTTAGGTGCTCACTTCTTTAGTCCTTGAAGAAGGACTATGAGACAGGTGCTCTTGGGAGAATCATTCTACCTGGGAAGAGACAGGCTCAGAAAGAATATGCCTTGCTGGAGATCAACCCTTCCTTTCCTCTTCCCCAATAAAGTGGGGAACTGGGACTCAACTACAAGGAGCATGGCTCTGAGCATTGTTCCTAATCACCCCATGACTCTGTGTCCCAAAGGAAATCTTCCACGGATGGATCATACAAGCAGTTCTGCCTGACTTTTGAGAATAACAGAAAATAGTATCATATCAAGGAAGTTGATATTTTCTACAGAGTCACTGTTTTACTTGAGGACCTAACTATGATTTAATCCTAAAACAGCTTTTGGAATCTCTCCAGATACCTCTGCTACCGTGGAAGCAGGAAACTGCCCTCAGTGTTTTCAAATGAGAAATCAAAAACTACCACCTTAAAATTAGCTACTGAGGGAACAATCCTAGTCATACAGTCAAGAAACTGCCTTTTAGCAGCCCACATCCAAGGGGTATCCTTGAATCAGGGTGTATACTCCCTGAGAGATAGAAAATGGTGGGACAAAGACCATGGAAATCGCAAGGCAAACACAGGGTAGCTGAGTTATCAAATTTGCATTAAGCCTGTAAAACACTGACCAGTCCCTCTTGATAACTGTACCCTAGCATGCCCTCTTTGTGGGATTCTTATTAATTTGCCTGCCTCTCTCCCTACTCCTCACTTTCATAGCATTTGCTTACACTAGCTCCTTAGATCAAATACTTACTTTAGTTGGGTCATATGTGCACTGGAAATGACTGACCTTTTAAGTGCACTGATTTTTATTTCTTTTCTAAAATTGTTGGTCATTTTCAAACACATTTAGTCTTTTTTTAATTCTGTTTTATTGCTATTAATCATGTATCATAAACTTCACCATCTTAAATAGTTTTTGTTACTATTATATCATTATGTCATGTAACCATCACTACTAATGCCAACTTTTTTTTTTTTTAAGTGTTGGGGACCGAGGGCGGCATCTTGCGTCTGTCAGCATCTTCGCCATAAAAAGGTGAAATGGAGTCCGGATAGAGAAAAACATCCGGGTTGCAAAAGGCATGTGGGAAGAACTCCCTGCCCCCACCTTTTCCCTTTCCTCTTTCTTTTCTTGCCCACTTTCGCCCCTCGCGAGACCAACTGCCACCAAAACATGTTGCATTTCTATTGGCCTTCTCCCTTCCTGGCATCCCTCTCCTCCTGTATACAAGCTGAGATAAAAACCCAATAAAGAGCTCTTTCTTTGTTCTGCTACACGCGTGTGACTGATTCTTTTGTTCGCCGGACCTAGGGCCCCGACTCTCCGGCCTTGCTGGTCAAGGTCCCCCGCATTTAAGATTTATTTATTTATTCATACAGACTGAGGTATAGGCCAGAGATGCGGAGGGTGAGAGGATTCACCAGGGACAGAGTAGGGAGCAGAACAGATCGACGAAGTACACTGCTGAGGGGAGCAGCAGGCGGGTCAGGAGAGGTCTGCCGCGCCATGTGGATCTCCTCCGGGGCAGGCGGGGATCGAACTCATGCGGAAGTAGCTTAAGCGTCTTAGTGCAGTGCTTTAACCCGCTGCACCACCAGGGAGGGCCCAAATACCAAAATATTTTCATAATAGGAGAACTCTGTACCCACCAGCAATCACTCCTATTTCTGAAATATCCCATCTCTCCTGGCAACGACTAATCTACTTTCTTTCTCTATGGATTTGTTTAATTAGAAATGACACCATATGTGATCTTTTATGACTTGCTTACTTCACTTAGCATGTTTTCAATGTTTGTTTCTGCTGTAGAACACATATGTACTTTATACTCTTTATGATCAAATAGTACATTGTTTGGCTATTCACTTGTTAAAATCCATTAATTGTACACTTATACTTTTGAGCTGAGTTTTAATGATGTTTGATATGCAAGCTTTTGTATGAGTATCTGTTTTCAGTTCTTAGCTATATACATAGGAGTGCAATTACTGAGTCAATTGATAATTGGGCTTAAACCTCTGAAGAGCTGCCAAATTATCTTTTCAAGTAAAGGAATGATTTTATATTCCCACCAGCAATAATACCAGATTTTTTGAAGACAGCCATCTAATAGGTTTGAAGTGGCACCTCAGTGATTTTGATTTGTATTTCCATGATAACTTATGGTAACTGTCTTTTTATAAAGTGCTTTTTGGTCATTTGTGTATAGTCTTTGCATAAATTTTTATTCAGTTTTTACTGTTGAGCTGTAAGTGATCTTTATAATTTGGATCCTTGATCTATACATGTGATTTGCAAATATTTCCCCCATTCTGTAGCTTAACTTTACCCATGAAGCATAAAAGTCTTTAAATTTGATGAAGTTCAATTTATCATATCTAAGAAATAGTTGCTTAATTCAAGGTCACACAGATTTACTCCTGAGTTTTGAAGTTATAGCTCTTACATTTGGTTCTTGGAAAATTTTTAATTAATTTATATATGCAATAGTATATTAATCTTTCCTCACATTTATAATTATAATAGATAATTTTATTTAGATTTTATTTATTTTAGTTTCCATCTAACAATTCTAAGGTCAGAGTTTTATAGAAGAGTAAACCTCCTACTCATGGAAACTCCTGAAATTTATTCATGATGCACTCTTTCTTCATTTTGTTACCCTGGGTTTTGAGTAGGTAATGCTCCCTGATGGAAACACTACACACCTGGGATCAGGAAATACCTCTGATGGGTAGATTTACATTTGTTAAGTGCCTCTGGGTGTTAATACAACCAGACTCTCCTTCTGTTTTTCAGCTTGGTAATTCCTAGAAAACAAAGGTAGCACTAAACTAAACCCAAATTCATGAGAGGGAAGGCCGAGACAGGCCAACTTTGGCCATGTTTTTGTGCTGCCTGACAGCTTTGTTCAACTTCTCTCTCTCCCTAGAAGTACACTTTCCCAAGCAACCTGCCTTTATGCTAGTATCTTAGTCCACTGTGTATATCAGTCCCAAGTCACTGTCTTGAAGTTGTGTGTGTGTGTGTGTGTGTGGTCATGAAAATGCAAGGTTCTTGGTTACCAGGTCAGTAATTACCAGCCCAGTAGCTACTGTGGTCCTGCCCACTGCTCTACTTGTTTAATAACCTTACTTAGATTTTGGCTCCTAGTGACCTCTTATACTTTTGTGTGAATTATTCACATATTTCAGATTTTTCTGTTACATTTCATTCAGCAGTTCAAAGTGTTAGCAGAAGGAAGGTTTTTAGGTCTTCCATAAAATTCACATGGATTATCTTTATATTAAAACCAGTGTGGTCACAGTAAGAGCAGAATGTTAAGATACGAAAGATATGCCAGCTGACGTGAAGGGAGAGTCATCCTGCACTGGTTCCCAGGGATATTCTCCATGCAGAACAAATCCTGCTCAGCTAAGCAGATTTGAGACTGAGTGAAGCCTAGGGATGGCATACTGCAGTTTTACCTCCAAGACATCATGCACTTGCAAGTACAGATTTATTCACAAATGTTCAATGGACACATGCTGGATCTGAAGCCAGCTGCTTTGCATTTGGCTGAGGTGATACAGGTTAGGGTGCCCAGGATTGCACAGTCCAAGTCACTTTGTGGTGGGATTAAACCCCAATGCAACAGTATTGGACCCTTCCATCTCTCTTACCAATTTCTTGCTTCTCTTCTGGATGAACTATAGATTCTGATCAAACTTTCTTCTCAACATAGCCTTTGTACCAACTAGACCTCATGCCCTGGGGGCTGCGAAGTCCTCTCCTTCCAGCTCCATCTACCCACTTGACGCAAGTACACATTTTTTCTACAGAACAGAGGGCTCCCACCTACAGAGTGATTGCAGCCTATTTCCACACAGGAGGAGGACAGACTCCTTGGGTGTTGGGGGGAAAGTAACACTGCATTGTTGGCCAGAATCTGCATACTCCCCAGTCTCAGTGACCCATGCCCCAGTCTCAGCAGCCACCACCTACCTTTCCATGGCTGTTGGAGTCACACTGGTCAAGGCAGGAGCACCTGATGTGGCTTTGGACCGTTCAGTGAATCGGGAGTCAAATGCTTTCATTGGTTCGATCTTGGATGGGGTCGTTAACACAGAGGGAGACGATGCAGCAGGAATCGAGGTAGCATTCACACTAAGATGGAGTGAAGATGGGAAAGCAAGTCAAATCCAATCCATCAAGGATCTGGGAACCCTGGTTTTTGTTACTTGGAACCAAGTGAAAGGGGCACAAAAATCAAACTTCTATAAACAAACAATTGCACTTTACATTATTCCTGATTATTATCTTTAATGTTTTCATGTGGTAAAACTCTGGAAGTTTGGCTGAGAAGGTTGTGGGCAAATCCACTCACATCTGTTTCTTGCAATATTCTGAGACCTTCCTGGTATATAAGGCTTTGAAAGCCATTCTTACAACCTCTTTTTCTAACTATGTTACCCCATTCCACAACTCAAAAATATTATCTCAATCCCAAACTACTTCAAATGTTAATAGTTTTTCCCATTTTAACAATGCATCTGAAAAGAAAAGCTCCCACCCTGGGTCCTGAAGCTACTGTCTATTTTTGGCCTTCATCCAAAACGAAGCATCCTCTGGCCTAGGTTGCTACCATCTCACTGACATAATTACATTCTTCATACTCTCAAGTGCTTACCCTCCTCTTTACAATTCAGAGAGCAGCTCAGGCATAAGCTTGCCCAATTCCCTCCATGCCCAGGTACATTCCACATTCTAGGCCCAAAGCACTGGGGCTTCCTACTGAATACATCAGGTTAATAGTCCCCTTACTACTATCTGCCTGGACCCCTGACTAGCTGCCTGGGAGGCATCCTAGGTAGTATGTTCTCCCACTTTTAGGAATGGTAGGGCCAATTATTGAAAAATTTCTGAGTGGGGCACAGAAGCACACTTATCCCCCTTCCCCACCACGTTTCAGAGGTTGCCCTGTTGCCTACCCATCTCCCTTAACCTGGCTTGATGGGTCCTGGTGGGGGTGTAAGAGTCCTGAAACCTGGCTACTACATTCTTTCTGCATATCTGTTTGTACTCTACACCTCTTTGGTTTACTTTTCCCCTATCAGACAACATCTCCCTGGGGATGAGGGCTCATGCATCAGTCCCCAGCAGTGGAAGCCAGCACTGGTACTGGGCAAATGTTTACTCGGTTCTTATTTATGCTTACCGGATCCTTTCTGAACTTTTTTTGTGGGTAAAACAAGTGGGGTATAGACCAGGGGTGTGGGTGGTGAGAGGATTCACCAGAGACACAGTGGGGAGCAGAGCAAGTGGATTTATTGAAACACCTGCTAAGGGGAACAGTGGGAGACAATACTCTACCATACATGGGTTAGCAATTTGGCCGGGGATCAAATTCAGGCTGTTGCTTCTGATTCTAATTTGGTTTTCAGGTTATGGTCAATGAAGACACAGGCTCTCTGACCAAATGTAATTCTGACACTGTGAGGGCAGTCTGTACCCCTGTATCAGAACACCCTGCCTGGACTGAATGGTGTGGCCATGCTCCCAACAGAGGGCAGTAGAGGACTAAGTCATTTCCTTTGTAGAACTGTTCGAAGATGAGGCTGACCTGTGGCAAGTAATGTGTTCCTTGCCCTAGAATATTAGTTCCCTACAGTATGAAGTCCTCATAGCCCTGTTTGTCACAGACTCACTTGAATGACCTCACTTCTGAACAGGCCCTCATCTAAAATCAAACACCTTTCTATTTGTATTGAAGGGGCCAGAAAGTATCCCTGGAGCTCTTCCCAGGAGCAGGAGCAAGTCTTGATGTTCACTTACCTGTCTTTATTGACAGAATCGCCCACAGGCCTGGCGCTGCCACAGGCCGCTGTCACAGGCTCTGTGGAAGGTTTTGAAGTGCCAAAGGAGTTCGGGGTGCTGGAATCCAGAGGCAGTAGCTGTGGACTGCTATGAGAGGACAGCATGGCACCCGCCAGGGAGCCAGAAAGTGGGATGCTGTTAAAGAACGCCGTAGAAAAGTCCCTGTTGTTAGTAAGAACAAAAGTCAGCTTTGGAAATCAGATACAGCCTCTAGTACTTCATACATTCTAAGTTAACATTTTTCTGTGTTCAAAGGCAATGTATTTTTATGGTAGAAAACTTGCAACAAAAAAATAATCATTTCATACATAGTATTTACTTGTACCTGAGATGAGTTGATACTTTATGGTACCATTAAAGAGTAATTAACTTAGTGGTATTTATCCCACTAATTATAAGACACACTTTAACTTCAGAGGTATTAAAATGTGCAAATGTATCACGGAACAGGAGCATGTGCAGTGGGCCTCTCTTTCACCAAAAGTTGTGTGGGTAGATATATCATTTACCTAATCAGCCTTTACTGAAGAATGATGTTTCCCACTTTTTCTGTGACAGACAATGCTACAACAGGCCCAAGATACCACAGTAAAAAAGGAAAAAAAGGCATGACAACTAGGTCTCACTCATCTGCCATGCCAAGTCCTAGGCATTTCCAATCACTGCGCTTCAGATTCCAAGAGTAAAGGAGAAAGTGACAGGACCTTTCTATGTGTCACTGTAGGGACCAGTTTGTACAGCACATACAACAGTTTTTCAAAGATTATAATATCTGTCATTCTACCAGCTGCTATACGTATCACATGAGACAAATTTTTAGAAAGGGAACTGCAGCAGCAAATGGACTATTCATTGATGATTTTTACTATATAGTTCTAGGCTGACCTCCTTAGAGGTTTAAGTTCCATGCTGTGTATGAGAATGACCCCATATTCTCAATAGCTGTCAAATTTCTCTGTATCTGACAATCTGAGGAAAGATGATCTCTTACTAGTTAAATCTGAATTTATTTTGATGTAAGACTGAAATATTTTCATATAGAAACATCAGATGTCCTTTATTTGTGAACTGTTAGTTCAGCTCCTTCATTTATCTCCTTTGTATATTAAAATCAGTCTTAAAATTAATAATAAAAGCCAATTCATTTAAATATTTCAAATTTTCAAGTATTTCAAAAACTTTTTATAAGCAGGAAGTATCTTCTCCAGGATTTTTTTTTTTTTTAAAGACTTATTTATTTGTGTATACAGAACTGGATACAGGCCAGAGGCGCAGGGGCAGTGAGAAGATTCACAGAACAGGCAGATAGACAAAATACACTGCTGAGGGGAGCAGTGGGCGGGCCAGGAGAGGTCTGCTGCATCATGTGGTCACCCGCCCTGAGGCAGGCAGGGTTTGAACTCATGCAGAAGTGGCTTTTGATTCTTAGTGCTGTGCTTTAACCAGCTGCACCACCAGGGAGGGCCGGATTTCTTTTTTTAATGGTATAATTTTTCTTGCCAAAAATGCTTATTTTGTGTGATCTAAATTTTGTGTCACTGTAGAAAAGATAGTTTTATCTGTGAGACTAATAAAAAGTCTATTCATAGACTCTTAAAAATTTCAACAACAGAAATTAAAAATCTGTATAGGAAAATCTCATCAGAATTCTTTGTTGTGAAGTAGGGACACAACTTTGTTTCTAAAAGATACCAAGTAGTTCTGACTCCCATTTACTGATGGGAAATGCTTTAAAATTTCCATAAATATTTGAGCCTATTTCTGGATTTTCTATTGCATTTTACTGCTTTGTCTATTCACATGTCAGTACCTTGCTGCTTTATAATAGCTATATTAGTAATAATATGTTATATATTATTAATTTCTAGGGACTTAGCTTTCACTGATTAATATTTTTTAGAAATATTTCAGCTATTTCTATTTATTTTTCCAAATAGCTTAAACCCAAAGATGTTAGCCTACAGGGGGCTGCTTGGTTTTGCCAGACTTCCACGTAAACCTGGAGTATCAGTTCAAGTATCCTTACTGTCCATTTATTTGCAGTGAAAGGTGAGCAGCAACCATCTAGGATGGTGCCTTTTGACCTACAAAGCATCAGAGGATGTGTGAAACCCCAGCAAACCTTTGCACACCCTGCCCAGCACAGTAAGTGAAGCCATGAAGGCAGAGGGAAGGCTTAGGAGCAAAGGGTGAGCAGTCTTTGACCCAATGTTAGAGACTGCTGTATCCTTATTACCTGTGCAGACCCTACGGTTCCCTGTAAGTGAAGATGCATACTTAGGGGGAGGGACCAGCAGCAGAGACTTGGTGACCTCCAAGGCTAGCACCCAACAGCCCATCCACAGCATTACAGTCCTTGCAAAACCTGGTATGACTGTGTTGGACCCAACTTGGTCACCAGTACCTGACATACCAGTAGAAAGACCCTAAAGACATGCCTGTTGGCACCAGTAGCATGGTGACCCTGCACATAGTACAAATCTGGAAGCAAACGAGGGGAAAAGAAAAATACAAACTGCCAAATAAACCCTTTGGAGAATAACTAAACCACAAAAAGAAAATCAACTCCCAGAATTCAACAAGACTGACATGGGAGAATCTTTCTACCTGACAAAAAGAGATTAAGAATCGTCATGACTAAAAAACTTAAAAAGAAGAAAAGGGAAAGAGGGATCTGAGAAATATAGTCAAACTGAGGAATGTAACTGAGTCTTTAAGAAAATAAAGGAAATGGAGGATGTTTGAATATCAATGGAGGAGCTAAAGAATTCTGGGAAAAGCAATGAAAACAGAACTGATGAAATGGAAAAGCGCATCAGTACTCTTGAAGATAAAGATATAAAAAAATAAATAAATAAAAGGAAACAGGGGCAAAGGAAAATGAAGAAACACTTTGACACCATTAGGAAAGGAAATATAAGTCATAGGAATCTCAGAAGGTGTAAAGAGACCAAGGAACTGAGTATCCAAGAAAATAATCAGCCTTCCCAAACAAGAAGAAGGAAATGAAAACAGACATATAGGAATCTAGAAGAATACCAAATTATCATAACAAAGGACACACAATAATGAATCTTCCAAAAGTCTAAGACAAAGGAAAGGTGGTAATATTGATAAAGGGGAAGAAACATAACTTATAAAGGAAAACTGATTAAGCTGACATCAGACTTCTCTGAAGAAACACTACTGATATGAAGAGAATAGAGCAACATATTCAAAGCCAGCCAAGAAAACTTTATCCTATAAAATTCCTTCCATTATGGCCCTCCCTGGTGGCGCAGCGGGTTAAAGCACAGCACTGAGAATCTAAAGCCGCTTCCTCATGAGTTCGATTCCCGCCTGCCCCGGAGGTGACCACATGGCGTGGCAGACCTCTCCTGACCTGCCCGCTGCTCCCCTCAGCAGTGTATTTCGTTGATCTGCCTGTTCTGCACTCCACTCTGTCTCTGGTGAATTCTCTCACCCTCCACATCTCTGGCCTGTATCCCAGTTCTGTATGCACAAATAAAATAAAATCTTTAAAAAAAAAAAAATTCCTTCCATTATGAGGGGAAAATAAGAACCTTCTCAGACAAACAAAATTTTCAGAAATTTGCTACTACTAAACCCTCACTCTAAGAAATATTCCCAGAAACCTTAAAATCTAAACCGACAGAGTAATGAACTGGAAGACCTGAAGAAAATAATGAATAAAAACACAAAATGATAAACAAAATTGCAATTATAGACCCCTATGTATCAGTATTCCACCCCAAGTAGAAAGGGACTAAATTCATCAATGAAAAGACACAGAGTAGTAGGCTGCATTAGAAAACAGAATCCAACCTTCTGCTGTCTCCAAAGATAAACACAGATTAAAAGTAAAGGGACTGGGCATAATAATTAAATCAGCATGGTACTGGAATAAAACCGACACACAGACCAATGGACTCGCATCAAAGCTCAGGAAATAAAGCCATGCACATATGGCCAACCTAATCTATGTATGGCAAAGGGGCAAAGAAAGTGCATTGGAACAAAGAAAGTCTCTTCAATAAAGGTACTGGGAAAACTGGACGACCACATGCAAAAAAATGAAATTTGACTACTACCTCACATCATACACAAAGACCAACTCAAAATGGACACAAGAACTGAATGCAAGACCTGAAAGCATACAGTATATTGAAGAAAACAGGCACTCCATGAGATACATCTCAGAAGCAGCTTTATCGACCCATACCTGAAACAAAGTAAATAAAAGATAAATAGGTGGGACTACATCAAACTAAAGCTTCTGTACTGCAAGAAACAGAGACAATAATCAAGATGAACACACACCTTACAGACTGGAGAAAATATGTGCACTCCACACAACTGATAAGGGACCTAAATCAACAATCTACAAAGAGCTTATACAACTCAACAAAAACAAAATAAACAACCCAGAAGGGCCAAAGGGCTAAAAAGATAATTCTCTAAAGAAAAAATGCAGGAAGCCAACAGGCAGATGAAAATATCACTGTAAATATCAAAATGAAAATATCAACATCACTTATAATCAGGGAAATGCAAATCAAAACCACAATGAAATACCACCTTACACCACTAAGAATGGCCTATGTTAAAAAACTGATAGCCCATAATGCCAGTGAGGATGTGAACAAAAAGGAACCCTCCTAGAGTGTTGGTGGGAATGAAAACAGGTCTAACCCCTCTGGAAAACAGTATGTTGATTTCTCAAAAGACAAATGATTGTCATCTGACCCAACAATTCCATTCCTAGGTATATACTGGAATAACACAATAACAGTCATTTGAAAGAAAAAATCTGCACTTCTTTATGTTTACTATGGCACTATTAACAAAAGTACTGAAAATACCTAAAGGCTCCAAAAAAGATGTCTGGCTCAAGAAGATGTGGTATATATGCACAATGGAATACTACTTAGCAATAATAAAAAACAAAACAAAACAAAACAAAAAAACACTAATGCCATTTGCACCAACATGGATGGAGCTAGATGGGATAATGATCAGTGAAATAAGTCTATAGGGAAAAAAAAAAATCAATGCTTTCACTTATAGGAGGAATACAAAGGAAGCTGAACAAAGGGTCAGAGAAAAAGATAAAACTTGTAGGTGGGGCTCTCTGGTGGGACAAAGGATTGGGGCGAAGCACTGTAGAGCTGGCTGCAGATCCCCAGCCCTACAGGTGATTCACACGGCGCAGCAGACCTCTTCTGTCTTGTCCACTGCTGCCCTTACAGTGTATTTCTTTAATCTGCCTGTTCTGCACCCTACTCTGTCTCTGTACCTCTGGCCTGTATCCCAGTTCTGTATGCATAAACAAACAAATCTTTAAAAAAAATTTAAAATAACAAAACTTGTAGGTGACAGGAGACTTGAAGCTTAAAGCAGGAGAGGGGGAGCAAAAGGGATCAAAACGGGGGTGGGGTGGGAGGGGAGAACAGGAGGGACCATGGTGATGGATATTTATAAGGACTACACAAAGAGGGAGAAATTAAATAGCTGTACAGAAATGAACAGCAATATAAAAATATTAAAAATGAATAAAAAGGAAAAAATAACCTCAGTTTTTCTGATTTTCAAAAGTTCTTTGGGTTATTTGCATTGATTCATCTTGAATTCACAGGTTAATTTAACCTAAAAACTTGGTTGAAATCACCCTATTTATTAAAATGAACAGTAGGCATATTTACTTGTTTTATGTATCTTAATATTTTTCTTCATATAGATCTATATTTTTTATTACATTCTAGCTAATACATCTGTGAATGTGATTTCTTTAATGACTTAAAGGTAGTTCGTGCTACTTCATTTTATTATATTGGTTATATCCAGTCACTTTTTGGTTTTTTCCAGTTGATTCTCTTGTAGATCATACTATCTTTAAAAAATGATATATTTTACCATCTCCTTTCCAGTTTATTCTCATTGACATATGAGCTATGACAATTACAACAATGTTAAATTATAATCACAAAAGTAAACATTTAACTTCTAAACTTAAAATAAGACAGACTATCAACTTAAGGAAGCATCTTAAATCAAAACATTAAATTTAATAAAAATGTCTCATACATCTATTGACATGATCACATAATTTCTTCTTTTGATTTACTGACATGTAAAAGTAAGTAGGTTCCCCAAACTTGAGCCTCCTGTTTTCCTGAAATAAGCCTTACTTTTGCTTACAATATAAAATGGGTATTTTTATTCAGATTTTTGCACTGATACTGACAATAAACATGGAACTGAATTTGCAAGCTTTCCTTCTTTTTACTATGTACTACAGTATTTTTTAATTACGTTAGAATGATCTATTCCTTACAAGTTTATTAAATTATTCCCTAAGCAGCTTTCTTAGTTTGATGGTTTTTGGCATGGTTAGGTCTTTGAAAGTGTCCTCTATTCTATAACTCATCTGCATGGATTTTCTTTAGTTTGGTAAATGACTTTCTGCAAAAATCATCCACTTTTAAGTTTATTTGCTCAGTCAGAAAAGAAGTCTTTCATTCTTTTGATTTAGTCTTCATCTATGAATTATTTACCACCTTAAATATTTGTGCTCTTTCTTTCTTTTGGATAATCTAACCTAAATCACCTAATTTCATTGCTACCTAGGTTTAACATGGAAATCAAGAAAGCAAGTTAAGTTTTTAAGACACAACGAATGAATTTCTGGTGCCAGAAAATGTGCTCTGCGGTAGGCAGGAAGACAACTACCACATCTTTGCCTCCTCACCAGGTAAGGCCTACAAGTATCCATAGCAATAAGGGCCATCACCATCACAACCTCCACGACCCTCACTCCCACAAGCCCTACAGTGTTCTAGGACAGTCACAGTTGGTCTCACTTGGTAGGCTGTTGACATTACCCTTTGTAGATTCACAATGGGAAATAGATTTGATCAAAGGAAACCAATGTCTAGGAAAAACCAGAGACTAGTTCTGATTCCACCCAGCCAGGTCTTGCCCTCTGGAAACTTAGTACCTGCACATCTAACACCATGGGGTCAAATGAACATACCATAAGACTGGAGATATCATCAGATTTGAAGGACGACTTGGAACAACTTAATAGATGAACAACTGCCTAGTGTGTGAAGAGCCCTGAGCTGATAAGTTGAATGAGTATAAAAGGCAGAGTGAACAACCTAAACAGTAGGGATCCAGTTCTTTCACGTGGGACTTATCACCTTTGAAATAAATCATTGTGTATTATTTTGAGGAGAATGACAAACACAAATGCAAGCCTGTGTCCAGACACTGAAGCAACAGCAAAATACTGTTACTGATACCAAAATACTAGTGGTTTGGGTAGTGTTTATGTTCTTCTTTGTGCTTTTACTTTTTCAACAATTCTTTTGTACAAGTTTCTTTCATAATCATAAAGAGTTATTAAAAGAGAAAAAAGAAACAAAATCAGTCCCAACTACTCCTGGTGTTATCTCTTCCAATGCCTCACCAACAATGAAGCAGGACTGGCTATACACAACACCTGTGAAAATGCCCTCACACGCTGGTCTGACGCAGATGCCTCCTAGCATGTCCTCAACATAAGTGTCAAATGCACATAAAGGTTCTGTGGGGAGTACGGTGTTTTGAGGTTGGCTGGAAGCTGAGCTCAATTCCCTGATTTCCAGATTATATGAGTCAGATTGGTCCAAGAGCCTCTTAAGACCCTGACCATTAAAGGGCTGACTGGTGAAAGGGAGAGGAAAACCTCCTCATAGAAGGTCACAAAAAACTCAGTGAGTGAATGAATACCCGGTGTCCAGCTGTGCTATGCAGAGAGGGGTGATTCTTCGCCGACCATCTGCTGTTCGAGTCTCAACTTGCTTCTTTAAAAGATTCTGGTAAAGTAAAATGACATTAAGTGAATAGAAAAGTTTTTCAAATATCAAACAAGACTTCTAAGAAAGTATGCTCTGACTTCGCTTTCCACAGCTTTTCTGGTATAAACTATTCCATCAGTTACCTTATCAAAGTACAAGTGTTTTTATCAGGGTGTATATTCAACTATCTGCACAGTAAAGAAGGAAGGTCAGAAAGTTCCCAGCTGAACCAACTCCAGCACTTTCCTCTCTATTATCAGTACTATGGGACTGGTCAGGTGTTCAAGGCAGCAACTACATACCAGGCTGGCCATTGCCACACAGCAGCCACGGGGCTCAATAAGGAAAATAAAGAAATCAGACTTGTACAGGTGAGCCACAATCTAGTCTCTTTGATTTTCAACTTTCCTTCATCAGAAACCTTTCTTCCATTGTGGGCTTCCACCGAAAGTTCCCACACTGTGGTCTTAATCACCTCAGAGAGTGATTCACCCTGCACAAGGTCCTAAAGATGATGTAAGCTAGCTCAACAGTTGCTGTTGGACCCCAACAGTTTCTGCCTCATTTCTGTCCCATCTCTACTTCTCCTACCTCCACAAGATTAAACGCAGACATTCAGAGAAAGGTGGTGCCCACAGTTATCTCTCTTAAGGGTGGGGCCTGAAGCCCACTGTCCTCAGTATGTATAATTTCATATAAAGACTAGAAAGGAGGTTTGGAAGTTCCTATAAAAGATGACCTCTGGAGTTCTTTGGGACAAAGAGGCCTTCAATAAAAGGAGCACAGCTGATGATAATAGGGTTAAATAGCCCCACAATGATTTACCCCTCTAGGGTCACTCCAGGAAAAACATATACCCACCTCCCCACCAGTCATGCCTGCATATTCTTGTCCCATCTTCGTGCTTTTGTCATTGTGCCCAGCACTATTGGGCAAAGCCCTCACCTTCCTGATGTCCTCAAGACTTTCCCCATTGACAACACCAGCCACTGAAGCAGCTGAGCCTGTCTCCCTTGCTGTCTTCTGGTCCAGCTGCTGCTGTTGCTGCCTCCGCTGGTACTTGAGCATCTCAGGATTCTCAATGACGGCTGTGGAGAGCTGGGACTCAGTCATGATGGCCAAACTTTTGCCATAGGTGGACTGGTGAATGCGGCTCTAGGGGAAGCAGAGAGAAGTACACTGTGAGCAACTATGAAGTGGATCTGTGGCCATAAACTGGTGAGCTTTGGTGTGGTCTATGCTGGTTCTTACAGGGGGAGGGTTCTAGGCTGGAGTCTCAGAGTTCTGCGTGCCAGCTCTTCATCACCTCCTTCCCTGTTCTGCCTAATGTTGATTAGATGACTCTGGACAAGTCTTGTACCCTCCCTACATATAGTCTGTGTATGTATATCTGGAGATGAAAGTGGATGAATAACTGCAAGAAGAGAGATGGGCTGATGTAGAACAAATAACAATAAACATTGGCAGAACTGAAATTAAAACACTTAAATTATTAATACAAGGCTCTTAAATCACTCCAAGTATACCAATCACTTTTTGACAATCAGAAAGTAAAAATAGTCTGCTTACGTTCACAGACATTAGTTCCATACTAATGGAAGTTACTATAGGGCGGTTAATAGTGTCTCTAGGCGCAGAGTTGGCACAACGCATCGGGAATATGTCTCTGCCCCAAGCATGCCCTGATCCTACTGAGCAGGGGACCTCCCTCCATCTTCCCAACTATCATTAGTTTTGTGTCATAACATGCCAGACAGGATTTATGCAGGCAGGGGTGGTGTCCCTAGCACACTGGAGTGGCCAGTGTGATGAAGAGTTGACTCACACTTGGATGTGCCAATGATCAATATGGACGTCAGTAAAACATCTGTCTCATAGCAATGGATGCTACACAGGGGAGGACATATTTTGGAACCGATTGCTATATGGCCTGGTATAGCTGTGCGTGGCCAGGAACCTTCCTCCCTCTCTAGCTTCTATCCCCCTCCCCTGGAATCCTGAGGCAGAATTTAGTTTGGTTCCAGTGTTCTTCAAACATGAGATCACTGCTGATAGCTGGGAAAAGTTAGAAAAGATAATTATGTAGGCTCCCAAAGTGATTCCCTAAGGGGAAGGGAGGTACACAGGGATCTCAGGTTACCTGGAGATATGACCACCAGAAGCCACTGAGACAATGAAGCCTTCATTGAAAAATGACTGAGGGTGCCAGTGTGTATTCAAGATCCTGTCAATGAATCAGACCCTTATTTCTGAGGGGCTTACATCATGGTGGGGGCTTACTCAGGAACTTTTACCAGCACTTGTATCTCTACAGGGAATGATGCCCTGCCTTGAGCTTTACAGGGCTCCTTTCAGACAAATACATTCCACTAAGTGTTGGCAAAGGTCCATTTGTAGAAATAGCAGGTTTTTAAGTATGTGGAAGTAAAGAAGAGCCTTTCCCAAAGCTCTTAAAGAGGGCCACATGGTCACACCATCAGGGCAGAATACAGAGAAAAGGAGGCCTGGCCCAAAGGCAATAGGACTGTTTCATGCTTCTGCTCTTATACCTGAGGACCACATAGTTTTTGCAAAGGGAGATACTGTATTCCAAGGGCCTCCTTATTGATGAAATAGGTATGTTCAGCCTTCAAGAATTGTGTGTAATTTAAATGAATGTAAAACAGATGGCCTGGACTCTGGCATATAGTTAACCGCTAAAAAGTAACCAAATAACCATCACAACTGCTGTTTGTGCCAACTATGCAGTGCAATACAATGGCAAAAATGACGTCAGCAGGAACCCCTGGGACTCACTCTTGCTTACTTTTAGTAGGTGGCTAATTATCAGTTTAGGAAAAGATACCCAAAGTATTGTTATTAAATCCAGAACTAATTTATGACATACTAATTTTTAAATCAATATATTTTTTAAAAAGATTTATTGATGCATACAGCACTGGGGTACGGGGTGAGAAGATTCACTAGAGACAGACTGGGAAGCAGAACAGGCAGATCTACTGAAATACACTGCTGAGGGGAGCAGCAGGTAGGTCAGGAGAGGTCTGCCACACCATGTGGGTCACCTCGCTGGCTGGGGATTGAACTTGTGCTGCAGTGGCTTCAGTAGCTTCATAGTGCTGTGTTTTAACCCATTGTGCCACCAGGGAGGGCCCAAATCAATGTATTTTAAAAAGAAAATAAGAAAAAGAGGGCAGGAAGAGCACAGGAACTATGTGATGGTGTATGAGTGAACTGCGGTAAAAATTCTACTTGGAGAAAAGAAAGCAAACTACAAAAATGAACAATGGTATAAAATATATATAAATAAATTACTTTTAAAATAGAGAAAAGAGAGAATAAGGATTGTCCTATAAAAGGACAACACCCATTAATACTTTAAGAGGCTTGTGTGTGTGTGTGTGTGTGTGTGTATTGAGTACATCACAAGAAGAGAGTCCAATTAAAGGGGACTCTCACGGCAACTGTGGCTATTTCTCTGACTCGAGAGCATGAGCAGACATGGGTTATGTGCTGACAGTAAGCTATTTTCCTACCTTTTCCTCCTCACTCAGGGGATCACCGAGCTCATCCTGGGAGAAATCTAGGAATGCCACAGAACCATCCATGGAACACACCAGGATCCCCAGTCCATTGAGAGTCCTGAAAGAGATGGCCATCAGTAGTCTCAGAGTAAGCTCCTGCTATGCTCCCCAAAGCCTCATAGCAAGCTTGGGAGGACAGCAAGGTAGTACTATAGTAGATGATTAAGTCCCCTGGCTCTTTGCTGTGGCCTGGTGGCAATGGGGATAAAGGTTACTATCCCAGAGGGCCCTGGCACACTGTAGTTTGAAGCACACATAAAGTAATCTCTAGTTGGATCTTCCAGAATCTCATTTTTAGTTATTATTTCTGAAATCATTTAAAAAAGCTTTGAGGGAATGAACATCTAAATAAGGTCACTGAGAAGCAAAAAATGTCTCCAAACCCATGCTAATCTGATTCATACAACAGGAAGCGAAGTGGAACTAACATCATGGTGTTCTCCTTTTCCCAGAGATGTTTGCAGGAGAAGGGATGTCTAGTGGCAAATCCCAGGGGAGTAATAAGTACAGCAGGTCAAAGCTGCCACTCCTGAATTATGTGCAGGCACTGATTGCCTGCTCCCAATCATATCCAGGATATCTTATGTTCCAGTGTATAGCTCTTCTTTCCTAGCTTTGTGTTATATAACAAGAATCCATCTTACCAGGAAATATCCATAATGGATTTGTCAAACAATTCATGGATGACAACCAAAGGCCGTTTCAGACATGTGAGCTGGAATGGAAAGCAACAAAGGATTAATGAAATGGCTGCAAACCACTTTTTGCCTACCCAGCCATGGCTAGTTTTTGCCAAGCACCAAGATTCCAAACTATGGAATCTACCAAAAATATGCATGCAAGAATGTCCCCTACCTGAAGTGGTCTGGTTATAATGAGGCATGGAGAATGAGGTTCTGGGAAGGCCATGACCTGAGCTGAGAAATGATCTAAGGTGAAACTCAAGCAGGGTATAGGACACCAAGCCCCAGGCAGGGATGAGAAAGGCAGTTCCCAGGACAGAAAAACAGCCTCAGAGAAAACCTAACACATCTCTCAGCCCAAGTGATTCTAATACAGTGATTGATGGTTCATTATAAGGTACCACCATCTTGGTAGACTAATCTACCAAGAATGTGTAAATAGGTCAGAAACACACAAAAAGTTTTAATTCAGACCCAAAGTTAACCACTTTTAACACTTTGATTATTTTCTTCTATTTCCTTGGGGAAATAGTTCATTTTTTCAAATAAGGAATATGGTTGTGTTTGTTTTTTCATTTAATATATAATGAGTATGTAATTTAGCTTCTCGTGGAAACTGGTTTTGATGCCTGCTCGTATGTGTTATCTAGCTGCTCTAAGACTGGGCTGTGTATCATGTCCATGTACCCACAATTATAGCAAGATCCACTGCTCATGGGCAATATTGTCTAACCACCCTGGGGGTTAGGTCCTATGTCACGGAGTAGTGAGCTGGGTGAAAACAATTACAGGGCTCCTATTAGGTCTGTAGAACCTTCAAGAAGGCTGGGCCTGTTTTTGTGGGGAAGGAGAAGAAGCGGCCACTCTAGTCCTAAGGAAAATTGGACTCTGACAATACCTGGAATCTATAGGTACAGAACTTACAGAGAGGGCTGACTGTATGCCAATACAAAGGTCTGTTTAAAAAGAAATAACACAACATGCCAGCTATGGTTGCAATCACTGAGGGCATTCCGAGTCTGTACAAAAGTGCTGTTCGGGCTTGGGGTCACTGAGGCATCTCCTGACTGGGCCTAGTCTTTAGTGCTTCCTTTTTTACCCTGGCCTCAAGGTAAAAAGCACATATTGACTATCTCAAGAAGTAGGACCCTCCTTTTCCAGGGTCTGCCTCCTTCACCAGCCCTATTCCCCTTCCCCAAAGGAGCAGCAAAGGTCCTGACAGCGCACTCACCCAGACAGAGAGAGAACGGTCCTTGCTGCCAACAGCACAGCAGCAGTAAGGGCAGCTGGGCTTTGTAGAACTCCCATTCTTCTGCTTCTTTTTGAAGATTTTTGGGTTGAATTTCTAAAGTTAAATAACGAAATTAAAATAACCAGGTATCAAGCACCTAGTCAACGGCACATGAAACAACACAATCCCTGCGTATCAGTGGGAGCCCCACACAGACATCTCTGTCCCAAGACTTTGGTATACCAGGAGGCATTTTGCTGAAGATGAAATGGAGGCTCAGAGAGGCTAGAAAATGTGAGCCAAGGCACTACATGAGTAAGTGGTGAGATGTGGATTTGAAACTGCTCTACCAACTCCATTTCTGGGCCTGCAGTCAGATAGGTGGAATGGAAGTTAATGAAATTGGCCCTCTGACTTCTTCCTGTCCAAGCAGGCCAACTCCAGAAAATGAGCTTTAAGGAATATGCTGTCAGGGAAGACAATTGTCAGAAAAAGGCCAGCCCCATCAATCCCTTCCATCTTCAGAGTCAAACAGTCTATCAAGGCTGATCAGTCCTGTTTATTGCACTGGGTCAGAAAGGATGGCTACAGTACAATAAGGTCTGGGTACTGCTGCTAGAACGGGTGGAAACACATGCAGAGCTCCCTGCCACCTTCCTGGATTGACAGGGATAGAAGCTCTTGGCTCAGACTTAGGAACCAGGACAAGTGAGGAGGGTTCCTTCAAGTCTGTGGCAGGTATCCTAGAGGAGCTTTAATTCGAGAGGGTAGGCAGGAATAGCCAAGGGAGCACAGTAACTACAGAATGTGGCCCCAAAAAGCATGACCACTGGGCTTGCTTGAGTCTCCACTCACACTGAGTCATTAGCAGCACCATCCCCCCTCCCAAGGTGCTCTGACTTTGGCTGTGCAGGTCACCGGGAATCAAATGAAAGTACTGTGCTAGCTATGAAGTACTGACTTCTAAAGGCTGTAGCAACAATGCATTGGTTTCAAACAAAACCATACATAGACTCCAATATAAAAATTAAAAAAAGGTATTTTATTTGTATAAAGTTTGTATTTTAAGTTGTATTACATATTATTATCAATTAAAACAATGGGAATGTTGGGCTATTTGGATGAATACAAAAAAATGAGATCAAGGTCTCTGGATGTTTTTTCACTTGGCAGGCCTAGGCCTGCCAACCTAGCTATTTTGGTTTGGTGCCCAGTGTTGAGAAAATTCTAGTTCTCACATATTGTTTCACAATTATTAAAGAGCTTGCCTTATGCACTCTCAGGACACTCTTCAAAGGAAGAATCCAGAACCACCAAAGGAGTGGCTGGATATTCTTTGAAGCCTCATGGGTTAACAGCACTCACACTTTCTGCAGGTCATGGCTATCAGGATTGGATGGCCTGTGATCCCAGTGATCCACAGCACGGCCTCACAGTTAGCTAGATGACTCCTGCATGGGAAGGAGCCCAAGTGCTCAATGGGCACCTGAACCAAACCTGTGTCTCTGAGAGCTTGGCAAGTGGACCACTTACAGGATCACTATGCTTGAGCACCCTGAGGAGACCCAAACATGTAAAAAGCTAGCGAGGAACTACAATGTTCCTAGTCATGGACTGCTGTTGGTGATCCATGATGTTAAATGTTTGCCAACAGAATATATCACTTGCTCTATTTTGTAAACATTGAAACTAAGTACTTAAAATGATAAAAAATGTGAATTTGCTGACTCTTGGAGCCCACCACATCAGTTCCACACAATTCAGCCTTGAAGAGCATGGCTCTGCCCAAATCCTTAAGAGTTCCATTCAGAATTATGTCCACACCCAACCAGCCTGAGGCTAAGCACACTTACCACGACAGTCACAGCTTTCCGGTGCCCAACAAAGTCCATGTTGGTTTTCCAGCCCTCCCTTTCAATGATCTGGGCGGTGGGACCAGAGTTATTCATGGCATGAGCAGACACCAGGTAGTGCCCATCAGGTGACCAACTGAGTCGCAACACGTGGGTTGTCCCTCCACACTGAAAAGAGACAGCTGCACTTGAAAGGTGTTCACGGCCAACTTCATGACCAAAACTCAAGAATAAGTCAAACTCTGATTTACAAATGTGATGGTTGAGAATGTACCTAAGCCTCAGGATACAGTGAGAGTTGTAATTCATCCCTCCAAATGATCCAACAAAAAAGGCAGTCATATCAGACTGGGAACTGTGGCATCTGAAACTCTTCCCTTTTGTTCCTTTCAGAAGCTGAATGCAGTGAGGTGGTATATAGGCCGAGAGGGGATCTGCAGGATGGTCACATCTTTTATCTGTCAACTGTGAGTTGGCCAAATCTATCTGGCCACTGACCACTTCCTTCTGCCAATTGCTTGTTAGCCCTACCACATGAGGTCTTCAGAGCATTTGCTGCAGTAGGGAAGAAAGAGTTCTGGTGACCTTTAGAAGTCTGGCTGGAGTCTCCACTCACAATGTCCATTTGTTCTCGAGCCTATTCTCAAAAGACTTGAAGTCTGGTGGTACTACCAACACAGGGGAAGGGGCTTATAAAGTCTGTATTAACCATAAAATGCACAGCATAAAGGCACTATTCCCCTGACCTGGAGTGAGGACTAAGGCAGGGAATCCCTTCACATTATTCCTCCTGTAAAGTGAGAGGCTATGGAGCAAAACCTAGTCTCTTGAAGTTCAAGGTAAGTCCACCACAGTGTCTCAACTTCTAGCTGGGGCCCACACCTGGCAGGACAAGCCTACTCCAGAGGAATAAGAGTATTGTCAGTTCCACATATGCTCCCAGGAGTCCCACTGCCTGGCAATTAATACTGAGAGCCCATAACTTTGTACCAGGCTACAAGTTAGGGAAATACTGATTTTGATGTGCCCACTTCAGAAGCTACTCTTGATTTGGGGAAAACCAAATATATGATTTCCACTTTCCTCCCATAGCTAGCCCTGCTTAGTGGGCAAAATGTCTATTCTTCCTGTAAAACTGCTCATGTCCTTCCTCTGAGAAGTCTTCTCTGCCATGATCACCCTTGTGGATCATTTCTGTACATGCTAGAAAGTTCCATCACAACACTTAAAAATGATGTGACTGTCTTTTACTTGGTCTCAAAGCTTCAAGTAAGACTCCATCTCAATCCACTTTCATTTCCCAGACCCGATATTTAAAAACATCTAGTGAGCTTTGAACTCTAATCCCATTTGATTTAAGAATTCTAATAAAAGAGACAGTAAAATATTACACAAGCCACTGTAGTTCGATCTTCAGACATCTGGCAAATCATATTGCTAACTCTACTCAAGAAAAGTCAGTTGGTCAGAGTAGAAGTCAGTTAGCAAAGTCACAGCAGAGTCAGCAAAACCACAAAAGAACTTCCTCCATCTTCACATCCCCTTCTATCCCACAGGGTGACAGGGTAGAAATTTCACAAAGTCAGAAGGTTTTATCCGCATCTGTGGCCATCAGCTGGATGATATGACAATGAGGGTGACTCTAAGCTTCTCTTCATTTTTTTTTTTTAAAGATTTATTTATTTATGCACACACGAACTGGGGTACAGGCCAGAAGTGCAGGAGGTTAGAGGATTCACCAGAGACAGAGTGGGGAGCAGAACTGGCACATCTATTGAAATACACTGCTGAGGGGAGCAGTGGGCAGGTCATGAGAGGTCCGCTGCACCATGTGGGTCACCTCCATGGCCGGTGATCGAACTCGTGCTGCAGTGGCTGCTGATAGCTTCATTGTGCTGCGCTTTATCCTGTTGTACCACCAGGGAGAGCCCTAAGGTTCTCTTCACTTTTAAAACCTACAAATATTTTTCATTTCAAAGTTGCACTTTTAATAGTGTTTGATAAATGAAAGGTTATCATCATGTGACTCTTTGGGCCCTAGAGAACCCTGACTAGGATTCTGAGGGCCTGGGATTCTGTATTCACCTACCAGGTCTATACCCCAGCTAACTCTCCTCTACACAGAGGCTACCAGCTTGAGTTCTCTAGGCTGTCTTGTTACCTCATCAAAAGGTTTGGTGATGCTGGTTTCCAACTGCCAGTCCAGTGTCCTCCACACCTTCAGGCTGCGGTCATCAGCTTGAGAGGCAATATATTTACCAACCGGGTCCCAAGTCAATCCTTTCACCAAGCCAGAATGACCTCTCAAGGTAGCTAGAATTTCTGTGAAAAATAAAAGAGATTGGAAAGGTTTTACTTATGGGAAAGTAATGACTCCATATAGAAGCATGAGCTGCAATCCCTATGGGTCATGGATGACTTAAGTCAAAGGAAAGGACCTCAGGAGTCCTCTTTGATCAGCCTCCTCCCTGAGCACAAAAAGAAGAGTACCCTAGTTTATCCCTCCACCAAGGGATAAACAACCTGAAGAAAAACTGAAGCTAGGAAGCAGGCACCTCAATTTCCCTGTACTCAAGGTTAACACTTCTAAACTGAGGCTGCACGTGGCTACCAACTTGAGTTTGAAAGGCACAGGCAAACTGAAGGCTAGTCTTGGAAAGACCTGAATTCCACCCCCTTATTTATCTGTAATTGGTAGCCCTGCCATTGTTTCCCTTTCTCGACAGAAGCCTATGTCTACTTGGACTTTGACATCTGCTGTGAACCTCCCTGGCAGCTCTCCACTAAGGAGCAGGATTGATGGTTCTCTATAAATCACCACTGTGGACAAAGGTGTACAAGACAGTACCTCTTAGGGATCTGTAATCCAAATGCCACCCCAGCCTCTAAGCCTGCTTCTTCATGGCCAGGCCAAGTGTCTCCATAAAAACTCGTGGCCAATAAAAACAGAAAATGACTTGGACTCACATCCATTAATGGTACAATGGAGAAAAACTGCCCCAGATTTCACGCAGGAATATGAGCATTATCTTCCTAGTTATAAAATGCAGTACTATCCAGATTATATCATCTACTGTGACTAAACACATTAAGAAGAAAAATTAACCTTTGCAAAACTGGATTTATTAGCCTGCATCCGCTCAAGGGCTTCACAGAGGAGATAGTCATCAAGCTGAGGCATGAGTCCAGCAGGGGAAAGGCATGCTCTCAGGGAACACATGTAGGGGATGCTGCCTCCCAGGGGCATGTGAAGGTAGAGTAGGTGGGGCACGAAGGCAAGCTGACAAAAGCTGAACAGAGGTCCTCAACCTATGTCCCATTCTCAGTCTGTAACACATTCATTTTAGCAGTTACTATTTTTCTTAAATAGAAAATTCTTTTTAAATTTTAATTAATGTAACTGATAAAAGAAAAAAAGAACTGACAAGAATGAGTTATTAAGACACAGGAATCTGGGTCCACTGTGAGATACTTGCTACCAGCCATGGGAGACAGAGAGCTCACCCCCCTCTAGATCAGACAGGCGGTATAACTGACGAATGACCCATTTCTGCTGTCACCTAATCAGAGACCCAGACCTGGGAACTTGACAGCGTTCCAGATGACAACAGTGTTATCCACGCTGCATGAGGCCAGCCAAGCGTCGTGGGGAGACCATGCTACGTCCATCACATCTGGAAGAAGACGGAGAGCTAGCGGTGAGTTTTTTCCAGGAGTACAGCTCAGTGATTGGGCACCACCACCCCTTTCTGCCAGCTGGGCCAGTAGTCCCTGGTACTCTCATACCTGAGAAGTCTTGAGCTGTGACCATCACAACTACACTTTTTAACAAATCTGAAAAATTCAATTGGTCATAAAATTTAAAGCACCTGACCAACTCTGCACCGTTCCTTTTTTTGATACAGCAACTAAAGACACAACTGAGAGCATGATTCCTTCTGACCTCTATTCATGTATTAGAACCTGAGTTCTGCCATGCACTGGGTCTGAGACCCGAGCCATGCTAAGCTTGTTTCTCCAACCATAACTGAACCTTCCTTAGGGAATCCTTTGAGCAATGTCAGTACAGCCCTAGCAGAATGCACAATCAGCACACATTAGGTACTGACTCTGGAGAGTCATCTTCTGGCCCTTTTCCTCATGAACTAAATTTCCCCTGAAGACTCTGACAGAAGTACCCCCACTTTCCTAAGGAGTCCCCAAATGGAACTGACCATGCTCGTTTCTTCATGAATCAGCTTTCACATCTGTGGAATACAGATTAAAAATCACCTACCCTCAGTTATTGTGAGGAATAAATGTGGGAAACTGCTATAGCATTGCATCTACCAATGAACTGACAAAGGCCAGGCTGCAGTAATAACAACCATGCCATCTTCCCACCCAGGGTTGATAGTGTGATCTCACTGATTTTTCTAACCTCAGTTGCAGGGCCAGTTAAGAATGGCTGATGAGGTAAAGAAACAAACACAGCAGCAAGTATCTAGTAGTGCTTCCCTCACAGGATTTTTAAAAAGATGTGTAAGCAAAATTATTGTTTTTATTCTTTAGTGATCGTTTGATGAGATATTCCCACATTTTGTATTGCATACGCAATCTATACTGCATTTAATTTAAAAGTGGCCTATGTGATTTGCTGTGGCTGCTGTTGCTTTGCTTTGCATTCTGTTGAGCCTATTCTCTATAAACAGAACTACCTAGTTAACATATGCATTAACTAGATTCATTTTTCATGCTCAATGAGCACATATAACTGTCCACATTCTTGTGGATGCTGTATCTTTAAGACTGATATGTCAAAGTGGAAGTTTGGGTAGATTTCTTGAACATTTTCATAAATACGAATTTTTATAACAGTGTAGACTGTTTTTCAAAGATCTTCAAAACTTCCTTGGCTTGAGAATTATGATTTCCCCCCTTCTGACTAACTGTTAAATACATTTTTATGTTTTAAATTTTACTTTGATTAGCAGTTAAAGTGAAGATTTTTCATGTCTGTTTTGTCTATGGTCTAGAGTTGTGCTTTTGGACTAGTTTGCTCCAGAGACTATTGGGAAGTCTCTGTCTTTGACAAACACAGGTACAGTGCCTAAGAAGAAGAAGAAAACTAGCTTCTATGCACTGAGGAGTCTTAGAAGAGCAGACATGAGCAAATGAGAATTTCACTGGGGTACCTACATCTAAGAACAGAAAAGTACTTAGAAAAGAGATACGATTTTCTTAGCAGTTTGTCATGGACTTTAGCTACAAATTTTACCAATTTACTCTCCTATATGTGTGAGAGTTTTATGTGGTAAGCTCTTGCTAGTCTCCTTTAAGAGGTCATTTATTATCTGTTAGTCTTTAAAAAACATTCCCTATGCTAGAGGCTTGATAAATATTGTTGTTTTCTTTTGCTTTATTTAGGATGTTTCTAGTATCTGAAACTTATTTTGGTTTATGCTGTATTTAGTGAAGATCTAAATTACCTTCCCTTTTCCCACAAACTGCTTAATGGCTCCTCTGTTATATGTGGGAAATAATTCACTCTTTCTATTATTGATAAGCATGCCTCTGTAATATACAATATTCTTAGGTATATTGATTCATATTTCAGTGTTGGTAGTTTTGTCCCCAAAACCATAAGTTTGAAGGATTTCACCTACAACCTCTTTCTTCTAGATGCCTCTTGGAGTCGATACGGAGTTGTAAATCCACGTTATGTGATATCTTGTATCCCTAAATTGCAGGTATGATGCTCTTTTCTTCAGACTCTTAGTGCAGATCTCCACAAACCCAAACCTTTTCAACCTCTGCCCCCACCCTAAAGATTTAAGTTTCCGGTCACCTTTGTTCCCATCAACACTATCCTTAGTCTCTGTGATTCCAAAAAGATGATTTTTCCAAACCCAAGGCTCTTGGTTCTCCCACCTCCTCTAATAACTTTTGGCTTCCTCTCTCTTGACCAACAGAACTTCCCTGAGAAATCACTGTAATTTTTCCCTGGTCTCATACTTTTGGTCCAACCCTCCCATACTTCTACCATTAACTCAGTGCTTCTAGCTTAGTCTGATCTCCAATGGCTCATTCATCCTGCCAAGTGTGACAATGTACTGATCCTATAAGCATTCTACCATCTACTTAACCATCTTTTAGAGTTCACCATCCTCAGTTCCATAGCTCTTATCCTTTGCTCTTTTCCTGTGCTTTCACAGGCATCTGACAAAAAGTCAGGTTCAATACACCTTTATCTTTCCCTTCGTCTTCTGGAGCCTTTAGGTTTTCAAGAACTGCAACATGGATTAGACTTGCCAAAGTCACGTCAGCCTCCACCTATCAAGTCTAATGTTCAATCCTCAATTCTCACCTGACCGTGACTGTGTTTGCTTTCTTTTCCTTCAAACTTGTTCTCTACTACCTAAACTAGTCTGTTTTGCTGGTTCCTCAGACTGCAAGCTCTATTCCTGTTCACTGTTTGCATCCATACTGCTCTTATAAGCAAGACTTATAAGACTTACCTGCTGCACTTACACAACTAGTAGGCAATGCAAGCTTAATATATCCAAAATTGAACCCCTGAACAAACCCCCCACTTCTGTCCCACTCATAAACTTCCCCTATCTCAGGTAATGGCATTGGCATTCTTTCCATTATGTAGACTGCAATTCAGAATTTGTCCCGATTCCTCTATTTACCTCACACTCCCTATACCATCCACTAAGAAATCTGCATCTGACCACTTCTCCGGTCTTCCAGTGTTATGACTCAGGTCCTAACTGCCATTGTCTCTCACCTCAATTACATTAGCAGCCTCTTCACTAGTCTCCACCGGCCACCTTACCCCTAAGTAGTGACTTCCCAGATCCAGCCATAATTCTCTCCCTTCCTGATTCCCTCTGCTCAGCTCCTGGCAATTCCTGAACACATCAAGCATATGTCCAGGCTCCAGGGTCATTGGCCTCGAGTCTTTGCCCTGGCTACTACTTCTACTTGGAGAACTCTGTCACCTCACCTCCATCTCGTCTCTCCTTATCCAAGCGCCTTCTCAGCAAGCCCGCCCCCAACTCCACCCCTCACTTGAGAATACTAGGGAAAAGGCACCCTATTTTCTGCCTAGCACTTATTCTCTGGTTTCTTGTGGCCTCTCTACCACTTAAGCCCTCTGCTCCTGTATGTGTATGGCCTCTCTATGTACCTGTGTGTGTATGAAAGAAATGGATAAGGCACTCAACACGACTTCCTTAAGATAATAGCCCACATCATGAGGCAGCCAGGGACGCCTAGGTTTGACTGATTATGTGGCCATGGTCTGAGGAGGTCTTGGAGTAGCTCAGAAATTACACAGGAAGTCCTCTCTGTATACTTGGTTGACATGTCCCTTCCTGTTACCCATAAAGTTGATTGTCCCTTGTTTCTCTTGGACCCTGCTCTAACTCCTGCCATTGTCACGTAATCAATCAATCATGCTTGTTCATGACTACTAATAAACAGCAAGAGGACTGCTCACTGAGCAAGTCTTGTGTTGCAAACCTGCTCCATTACTGGTCCCTCAGTGAGTCTCCAGGGACCTGCTGGTGTGTTCTCAACTACCAGTTTCATATAGGTCTACTTTATTATCTGAAAATTCTCTGAGGGTGGGTGGCAACTGGAACATACTAGGTACACAATAAATATCTGCTAAATGAAAATAAGCATTAATTTGGGATAAAAATATTTCTTTAGTCTTTCCATTTATGAAGTTTTTTTTTCATCTCATGCATCTTTACCTTATTCCTTGATAAAATTTTTGATCCTACTGTGTAAGAGTTACCTTTTAATCATTAGATAGTATAGTTACTTATTACTTCTGAAGGGCAAATACTTTCTTACATAACACTAATTAATGACCAATTTTTATTAGTCCTAAGAGCATTTCAATGGTTTTATAAGTTCTAAGAGAGTTATTACTTTTGGCCTTTTTTTATATGCAGTAATGCTATCTCTGTATCATTTTTGTTTACTATTATGTGTACCTTCTGATTTCTGTTTAATAACATTACAATTTCCAAGTGATGTATTCATAGCACCCATCCTTGTCTTTTCTTGAAATATATGGGAACAAGGCCTACCTGCTTTGCCATTGATTTGAAAAAGATGTAATACTGTAACATGTTAAGGAAATAGCTTTCTGTGGCCATTATTAAAAGAATTTTTATTAGAAAGTGATTCTGTATAAGATGATTTTAGTTTTCCTTATTTGTTAGCAAATTTAGATTCCCTTTACATAAAATTCTTCCATTAGAAATCACATTTAGTCAAAAAGAATTAGTTTTCAAATGTAAATTCTCTTTATGATTTTTCTAAATTTATTCATATTCATCTATTGTTCTGTTTTCTGTTATTTTTTTTTAAGTTTTATTTATTTATTCATACAGAATTGGGGTACAGGCCAGAGATGCGGAGGGTGAGAGGATTCACCAGAGACAGAACGGGGAGCAGAACAGGTAGATCCATGAAGTACACTGCTTAGGGGAGCAGCAGGTGGGTCAGGAGAGGTCTGCCACGCCATGTGGTCACCTCCAGGGCAGCCGGGAATCGAACTCATGGGGAAGTGGCTTTAGCTTCTTAGTGCTGTGCTTTAACCCGCTGCGCCACCAGGGAGGGCCTGTTTTCTGTTATTTTTTAACAGGTTTTGGAAATCCAGGGTTAGTTTGCTTTGAAGAATAAATATTTCTGTGTTCTGGAATAATTTTTCTTAAAAGCTTAAAACAATCAAAAAAACAATTTAGGATCAGGAACCATTTCTGACTGGTACTATTTTCCTCAGGTTTTCTTAACTTAAGCTACCGATTTTGAAAAATTGTATTTTCTGAAAACTTTAGTTTAATAGTATAAGCATTACACTGTATGATACATTGACAACATTTCCCTCTAAGTTAGATGTTTTTCTAAATCTTGTCTAGCTTTGATAAGCTTTCCTTCCTATCCCTTGATTAAATACATAAAGTATGTTTTTCACATTTTAAGTTCAAAGATCTGATATCTTCTTTTTATTTATTTCTGCTTTCATGGACTTTTCTTGAATGGTTCAACTGACACCTGGTACCAAGATCACTGAAAAAAAAAGTGGCAGGTACCCCTGTTAAAGGTAGGCAGCAGTATCTGCCTAATGGAGAGCCATAGGGTTGTAGGTCAAAGTTTGCTTACATCATGTTCTCATTAAACTTAAAATCCCATAAGTTAGGCCCTCCCTGGTGGCACAATGGGTTAAAGTGCAGCACTATGGAGCTGTCTGCTGCCACCGAAGCACCAAATTTGATTCCTGGCCAGGAGGGTGACCCACATGGCGTGGCAACTCTTGACTAACCAGCTGCTCCCCTCAACAGTGTATTTCAGTGTATCTGCCTGTTCTGTTCCCTGCTTTGTCTCTAATGTGTCCTCTCACCCCCTGCACCTCTGGTATGCATAAATAAGTCTTTAAAGAAATCCATAACTCTTCACTCAGGTTTCCACCCCCTGCTACAAACATCCTTAGTATGTGCACCAAGTTCCAGAAATACCCAACTAGACTCTACTGTGTTTAGCAGTGAACAAGAGTAAATTATACATTTCTAGTTACTGAAAATAATACACTGCTACTCTGTCAGCTTTCACAAATGTGGAAACCGTATTCACTAAGAGGTGGGTCTGTTTACCTTTCAAGTGTCTAAGATATTTCCTGAGCACATACTGCCAACAGATTCCAGCCAATGCCTTCCAAACTTCCTTGTCCTGCCCCATCTTCCCCCAGAGCTATATTCAATTCAAATGGTTTCATCAGTCTTTTCACAACTCCCTCACACATTCCCCTCAGCACATCCTACAAACTAGCTTTTCCGTAAGGCTGTTGTCCATATTTCAGTAATGGATACCTCTTGTTATACAAGCACTTAGCTAGAATCTCCCTTCTAAGACCTCCCCTTGCCCTATCCTACAAATTTCCCAAGGCAGTCTCCTCCTCTCTATCCCAATAATCACAGGCCATGTTCAGATCCCTGTTGCTTTTATTTGAATCACTGACATAATCTCCTCTTCCACACAGCTGGCAAAATGACTTCCCTCTTGTGCTTTGGGGCTTTTAATGCTCCCTCTTTTCCATGATAAAGAATGCCCTCCTCAACAGCGAGTGTAAGCTTTCTATGGCCTGGCCTCTGCCTACTCAGGCAGCCCCAAGAGGTTTTTTGCTTGGCATATAAATATCTAGCAGTGGTGAAATTCTGTGAATTCACTATTGACACCAAGCCTTTCTTGATTCTGCTCTCCCCTTGTTTGGAAAACTTGCAGGCCATTCCTGAGCTAGACCACAGGCTTTCTGAGTTAAGATTAAATAGTATTATCTCTGCTACCCTTAAGACCTAACCAACTGTACAGTACATGGCTTGAGAATACTATGAAATGACCTTACTCCTCTCAGTCCAAACTCTAAAATATGCTTCTTTCATACCAAACACTTTACAAATATACTCAAGGTCAAGTAAAAACACTTTTCATTGAGCCCCTGTGTGCTGGTTTCTGTTGAATAAATAAAGTGCGCTTACGGACTTAGTGATCCACTGATGAAGGTAGTGATTCAGTTCATCAGGATAAACAGCGGAACGTGGGGAGTTCTACATTAAAGATATAAACATATACCCCATGAGGGCAGGAGTGGGGGCACTGAATGCAACTGGAGACAGGCAGTGGACGGTGACTGCACAACGTTGAGGGACAGGCAGGGTATGACCGATGGTAATGGGGAGGAACAGCCCAGACACTGGACTGTTTCAAGGACCAAACAGTCCACAACGACCATGGAGGTACGGCTGTTGACCTCAGACAGCTGCTGGGCCGCCCTCCCCAACAGGCAGCCCCACTCACCGCCTGAGTGACTCCGGAGGATGGAAACACATCGCCACTGCTCCACATTGGCAAGCTTACCACTGGAGCCAAATACAGTGCTGGGGCCGATGTACCTGTGTGAGAGAGGAGTCAGAAAGGTACCCAAATACTATGGGCATTGCACAGAGATGCTCCCTGCAGTGCAGTTTATCATAGCAGACAAAACAGCAAAAACAGACAAGGGCTAAAAAGCATGAAACTGCTGTTAGGTATGATCTATACCCTTAATGAAATACCACATAACCATCAAAAAGCTTGCGGTAAAAGACTATCCGGTGCAAAAGAAAATGTTCAAATGCATAATTAAGTGAAAGCAGACCACAGAACATTATATTCAACAAAGCTATGTTTAAAAAAAAAAACATGTACCGTGGATATCATGTGTGGACAGAAAAATGAATTAGAAGGAAACCGCAAAAAATAACAAAATATTGTGGCTTTCTTTAGGTGGTAAATTGCAATTTTTCTCTTTATATTTTTTTAGTTTTCCAATAATATACTAAATATGTCTATTTATGTTGGCTACTGAAGCAAAATGAGCCATGGTTTTTAAGCCCTCTTATAATGAATTCAGTAACTCTGCCTTATGACCTGAGGTGAAGACAGCATTAGAACCGTGAGTACTAGGTTCCTGCCATGGAAGCAGTCACATGGCACCCGTGCAGGAGTTGCCGAGCCTCCAATAACACCCTTTACTCCTACAGTCTCTTCACAAACCCATAGAAAGAGCTCTTGGAGGCAGCTGAGTGAGTCAAAGGCACAATGAGCCTTTTCTTTTGAAACCATGGGCCTAGGGCCACTTTGGTTGAGCAGTGGGACAGGAGCTCATCCTCTGGCCTCGCAGACAGACACCTAGAATTGGTTGGGGAGCTGGTTACATAGAACAGAGTCCCAAGCTAGGTTTAAAGAAAAAGTTTTCTAGGCAATGGTTAGTTCATTGTGGGAACACAGAATGGCTCTGAATTCCATGTCATAGAGTCCATCAGAGCACCACGACTTTAATCACTTACATGCTGGGAATTTTACCTAATGGGAAGAACAAAACAAAGCTATCAATGTTGGCACTGGGAGGGATTAGACCTTATTCAGGTAGAAGTCCTGTAGCCACCCTATAGGCAAGGGGGCAGCTGAGCAGGCAGGTGGGTGGCTCCTTGACTCCCTCCCTGTTCAGGATCCAGTTGCTCTTAGCCTATGCATTTCTTGATACTTCTAAAGGCACTCTGGGGACTCTTCAGTGCCAGGATAGGGAAAAGTGACTATGATGAAGACCAACAAAGAAAGCTTCTAAAAATAAAATGTTTAGAAAGGAAAAATGATGCTTACGTAGCCCGTTTCCACACCATAATCAGTTTGTCATCTCCCCCAGAAGCTAAATACATCCCACTGTTTGACCACCGCACACAGTTCACACATGCTAGGAAGAAAAAAAAAATAGGGTGATGAAAATCCAATAGTCATGCCCACTTGCTTTATGAAGAATTTGGCAAGATGCAAAGGTTTATCAAATTTATTCTACCTGATCTAGTCAAGGCACCTAGGATATGAGTCTTAGAACAACAATTAACACCCACACTATCCAACTTGTGCCATAATAAGAAGTTATGAGAGTCTGGAGGGGGAAAGGCTATACAATCTGAGAAATGCTAGCACTGAGACACAGTCAGTGGAAGACTCATTTCCATGAAAAGTGATCAATGATAACAAAATCTCATTATTTCTAAAGGACTATCTAATGATGACATGTATTTCTGAATAGGGATTACACTTGAAATGAGCGCATGTGCTAAAAAGGCCAAGATGCTTTTTCCAGCACTTGCAGGGGACCAGTTTAAAGCTCTGACTTCATTCCACCTATTAGTCTTTTTGATTTGGATTTTCCAAATATGTCAGCATTGCAGGTTGGTTCATTCTGTACTTATAAACTAAAGCTAGCAGAAATCCCCTCACAGCTCAGAGCTTCTGGGAAATCTTATAACTCAGCTTGTGGGGCACTACTCAAGTCCACACATTGCCTAGGAATGATCCAGGTAGAAGACACAGGGAGAGATGTTTGAGAGTAAAAAACACACAGCAAAGGAAGGGAATGAACTGTTAATGGAACTTCTCAAGGGAGGCAGCTAAGTTGGAAACTAGAGCCAGGTACAGTCACCCTAATAGGAGCAAAAAATTAAGGCGCTAAAACAGGGAATGCAATTGCATAATTCTGAGACAAAAGGGTCCTGGCAGAGGGCCTCAGGGTGACAGTGTCAATCTGAGACATTTTGGTGCATTGTCCTTTATGCACCCTTCCCCAGAATTCTATTGCTTTCCAATTGCTGGCCCCAAAGCCCCATGGAATTAGGCAGTTAACGACTCATGAGCAGGAAATCACCAGAGGTACCTGCAGACTGTCCAAAGATGGTTCTGTGGGCGGGCCGAGTCTTCTGCTGAATAACTCACCCAGGTGTGCAGCCAACATCTGTGCCTTCAGACAGCAGGCCGAGGGGAGTTACCGCCGCACGGGGCCTTATCTTTCTAATTACAAACACATGTGCTAACCTTGGGCACTCTGCCAACACGCAAAGCCTGCAAAGGGCCACTCTGTAATACCTAAGTGATTGTCCATCTGGCAAAGCATCTTGGGAATATTTTCATCCTTCTCGTCATCCTCCTGGAGGACTGGAGACATATTCCAGATCACAACCTTCCCAGAATCTTGTCCTGGAATGAAAGAGAAGAAATATCTCAATGTGTAAGAAGTAGAAATTTGACTATGGTGGTATTAATTATAACACACTTACACTGCATAAATCACTAGATTGGTAAGGACCAAATTTGAATGACTTATATAAGTTACAGGAAAAAGGAAGACAAGTATCATGGGGATCAAAAAGAGTATGGCTTTAATAGAAGGCTGAGCTTATAACTTTATGAAACCTAACTTTATGAAAAAGAACTCTAGACTACAAATCAAGAGGGGAGAGCGCTCTGGTCTAGCCCCTAACACTGATACACACTGGGGTCCCTGAAAGATCTACATCCCTGCCCAGGATTTAGACTCTTTGTAAAATGGAGAGACCAGAAAAGCCCAAGTACTGGGATTCTTTCAGATCTGAGTATGGGCATCCTAGTAACCAAGGAGGTAACACAGTTCCTGCCAGGGTTTCCATATTCCTCCAGATGCTGTCTGGAGTTGATGGCTGTTCCCAGAGCTGACTAGACACTTTGAGACCCAAGGCTGAAATGTGCCCTACATACAGAAAAAAGGGCCCATTACTTTCTCATCTGTCTTTAGCATTTACCAAAAAAAGGGCATTTAGGATTCCTATGATCATAAGCTGGCCTAAAAATATATTTATGCACTTTAGAAATGAATTCTCTAAGCTTTCCATTATGGGTAACAAAAATCCAGCAACTCAGTAACTTTCTATTACAGAGGGACAAATACCAATAAAGATCTATGGACCTGTCAAAATTACCATAAAGCATATTTGAAACTGTGTCCCTGTCAGGATGTAAAAACATTTCCTAGTCAATTTTCCTAGGTTTTCATATGCTGAGTGGGACAGAAAGGTATGCTACCTCTTGTGAATGAGGAGAAAACCCTGACTTCCCAGTTAAGCTCAGTGTGCTTAAGTGTGCCTATGGGTAGTATGCAGAAGTCAACACATCTGACCTGAGGACTAGGCTTCACAGAGGCAATTTCCAAGTGCTGTCTACAGAGGCTTTTTGTCAGAGAAAGATCCTGTTCTACAGTGGGAATGCCACTTTGTGTCACCATTTTTGTATCCTGGTCTGAAAAACTATGTCTTTCTAAACAGCTGAGTTACTACAATAATGCAACACACCAGATGAAGTACACTGGTAATACCATGGACCAGATTTTCAAGTGGAGTAGAATGCTTTACTTCCCATAGTTTACTTGCTCTCTAATCCAGATGGCTTCCTTTCAATACAGAAGATGGCTCTAACATCTACCTAATTGACTTTGCAGTTTAGCTATTATGTCTCCATTTTCAGATGAAAAAAAATGCTGCCAGGGTAAAGACAAGGACTCAAGAGTCCTCACCACTACGGTTGGGGTTTTGTTCATGGAACCAGAATTCTCCACACTGCATTAGCTTGGTCTTAGGACTACAAGCCTGATTTAATATTTCTCTGATATATAGGAATTAGGAAAAGTTTGCTATAACATTTAGAGAGCATACTAGAGCTAAAAAGGCTTCTGACTTAATCTGCACAAATAAAAGATTATAATCATATATTTAAAACAAGTCATGTCCATACTGAAAAACAGCACATATGCTTTCTACAAGCTCAATGGGCAAACGGGAGAAGAGGAGCAAAGTAGCAGGTCATGAGCTCTTCCTGTCACCTCAGGAACATACCTTGTCCTCCAGTTGCAAACTTGGTCCCGTCAGGGTGAATATCAACTGAAAAAATTGGCTTGCCTGTAAACAAAAGGGAAAAAATACACATTTATTCACTTGATTTTTATTCACTGGAGAAGAGTAGACTCAAAATTTTTTTAAATTTTTGTTCAAGTAATAGCCCTAAGTAATACCCTACTGTTCCTAGAAAAATAGTCTACTTAAAAATAAAAGTAGAGGGCCCTTCCTGGTGGCGCAATGGGTTAGGACGCAACACTGCAAGCTGGCTGCAGCCACCTCAGTGTGAGTTCAATCCCCAGCCCCAGGAGGTGATCCACATGGTACGGCAGACCTCTCCTGACCTGCCCGCTGCTCCCCTCAGCAGTGTACTTTGTCGATCTGCCTATTCTGCACCGTAGTCTGTTTCTGGTGAAACCTTGCACCACCCCTGCACCTCTGGCTTGTACCCCAATTCTGTATGAATAAATAAATCTTGAAAAGAAAAAATAAATAAATAGTGATCTAGTAATTTCAACCACTGTTTATACTTTAATCCCATGTAAGTTAAATAGCTTGAAGCCTAAAAGTGGGACAAACTGTGCCATTATGACAAAGTATATCAGTCCTGAGTCCACAAGTCACCTGGACATATGCACAGAGGTCTAATGAGCAAGAACCTAACACCTTCAGGGAATGCATGTCTGTAAAGGCTGTGTGCTATTCATGATAACACCTGAGTTAAAGGGACTACATCTCCAGTCACCTTGCCATCCTACAACTTTCACTTAGTTGGCCGTCTGTACGCGGAATATGCCCTGGCCTTTTCTCCTGGTTGTCTGACAGGTGGCTGCAACACCAGGATGTCACTTTCTTTGTCATGCTTCTGCTTTCAAAAGCTCTCCAAGGACATTTGTGCTGTGCTGATTAATGTTCATGGAAACAGACTTTTCAACTATCTTTTCTAGCTGAACCTCCTTCACAGCATATCCCCTATATTCAACTTGATGTACAGTCCCTCTGAGGGTAAGGGTTGAAGCTACTAGCTCTTGGAACTCTCACAGGGTCCAGTATGACCCCAAGCCTACACGAGGAGCCCATGAAATTGGATGGCTACCTGAAGGGACCAGAATCACAAAAGTGCCATTAAGAGTTCAAAATCCAATAGATTGGAAGGTAATCCTAGGGTCTATGCCCAGCAGCTATCTTTCTGGTAAACTGGTTTGCTTCTAGGCTAAGAGTGGTATGTCAATCATTGTTGAATTCATAACTACTTTCTCAGCTCCTAGCACTGATCTAGTGAGGGTGACACAGTAATTCTCTGGTGACAAATCAGATGCATGGCAATGAACTGAACATCAGCAGTCACTGGTAGAGACAATGGACTACTGTCCAGAATCTCTTAATTGAGGATGTTGCGGTTTTATCATCCAAGAGGAAGTGGCACATATACCAGAATGAGGGTCTAGAATCATACAGTGGCAACTGTGGGCAGGGCAGGTAGTGACTGTCTAAAACCTCAAAGTCCTGCCAGGATTCTGTCTAATTAAAAGGCAGTGATCACCTGAGCCCTAGGAAGCCCCTAGCTCCTTCTTGTAGAGAAACATGCCTCTGGAGTCAAACTGAGAATAAGCTTCCATAAGACCTGAGGAAATGTATTCTTACTAGTAATTACTTGATAAGGGAAAAGCAGCTATGCAAAGCTACTTATGAGCAAGTATGCCAAATAAAAGTATACCTATTCTCTATTTTATCTCAGGGAAAAGTCAAACCTCAAAAGATTTGGAAAACACACCAAATGTTATTTTACCTCTAGTACTTACTGAATTCCAAAGCAATAAAAAGTGCAACAGGGCCCTTTCACCCTGTAAGTTCCTGTCTGGTTCCTGTCAGAAAGCTCCTCAAAGACTTCAAGGCCAAGAACCTGAGATCTATCATGACAGGTCAAGTTCAGTCAAACAGTTGCTAACTACCTTTCTGGAACACTTACAGTGTGTTCAAAACAGTCCCAAATACTGGAGATTCATTCATTCCTGGTTTGCTCTGAGATTTTATTCCAAAGGTTGCTCTAGAAGACAAGCCCAAACACAGTTCAACACTCTACATAGCTTTGAAGAAGCCAGACCTAACAGCAAAGTGTACTTATAGAAGCCTGGGAAAAAATGAGTCTGTGAGTTACTTTTCTTTCATAGCTTAGACAGGACAGACCCTAACTAGCCCCATCTAATCTTTAAGACTCCTGAAAATGATACTCAATGATGTAAAAGAAGGTAGGTACTGAGAACACAAATGAAAAAAAAAACTAGATGTGCTTAAATTAATGCTTCCATGTCTGTGCAGGTCAACTGGCACACTCCTGCCCTTCAACTGGCACACTCCTGCTCTTCCTGTGGCGGTAGCTACCATGGGTGACTAACCAGAGGTTGACATGCTGCCATGGGAGTTTTCCACACTTTCCCACAGGCTGAGGGGATGGGAAGTAAACAGCTGTCAGAAGATGAGCTATGAGAAGTGTTTCACAGGAAAGGAAAGGGCAATTGGTACAATGGGCTCAAATCATGCAGTTGCTGTTGCCCCAAGTATATGAGAAATGGTGAAACCAAGGTTCAGAGTTCTGGTAGACACCAAAGGATAGTGACCAACTAGCGCCATTAAGACCCTTGAGAAATTCAAAAAAGCAGATGTCTCTAAGTGTGGCAAGGAGAATGGCAGGAAGACTCAATCCCATCAGGACATCCATCTCTACTCAGGCCCCCTTGGAAAGCTGTAGGAGGTTCTTGGAGTTGTCAACTCATTATTCCACCTAGAAGAGTCAGAGCCACAAAGCAGTATGTTCTCTCATTTTTAATATAAAGATTGATTGATTTATACATGCATGCATACAAGAACTGTGGTATAGGCCAGGTGTGCAGGAGTTGAGAGGAGGGGGTGAGAGGATTCACCAGAGACAGAGTGGCAAGCAAAAGAGGCAGATCTACTGAAATACACTGCTGAGAGGAGCAGCGGGTGAGACAGGAGAAGTCTACTGTGTCATGTGGGGTCAGTTCCTTGGCCAGAGATTGAATTCAGGCTGCAGCGGTGGTAGCATGACAGTGCTGAGACCTAACCCCTATGTTACCAAAGAGGCTCCCCACAATGGATTATGTTCTGAGGAGCTCTGCCTTGCCCATGCCAGATACTCTCTCTCTCGGGCATGACATGCTCTCATATGTCTGATGTGCCTCTCAAATTCTCCAAGACTTCCTAAATTTCACACCACCCTTTGAGACAGGAATTTCTGACATTTCTGATTTACAGATGAGGGGGAAACTGAGGCACACAGTTATAAAAGTTGTTCTAGGCCACACAGCTCTCTGGCAAAATGCCAGTATCTGACTCTACAGCCTGAGGCTTTAAATACTACAATCCCTAGTGGTGCAGGGGTTAAAGTCTTACCATTATCCAAGCTACTATCAGCCACTGTGGAAAGAGTTTGATCCCAACCTAGGGAGCTAACCCACATGATGCAGTATACCTCACCTGTCTCGCCCGCTGCTCCTCTAAGCAGTGTATTTTAAGTCATCCTACCTGTTCTGCTCCCCACTCTATCTCTGGTGAAACCTCTCAGCCCCTGAACCCTTTGGCCTACACCCCAGCTCTTGTATGGATAATTAAGTAAAAAAAAAAAAAAAAAAAAAAAACTACAATGTGTTCCTCTAGGGAAATCTGGGAGGGGATATACATGGAGCTGTCCTGAGGGTGGGTATGACACTGCGTGGAGGGAACTGATACAAACCCCACAGGTAGAAAATAGGGAGTAAGAGTCAGTGTGAGAAGTATTCACTGGTCCAGATGACTGGGCCCTTAGATTTGCTATACAGAGCCATCACCCTGGATGTCCAAACCCATAGGCTCATGTGAGACTTATTTTGCTTTTCCCATAGGCTTTAGAGAACTACATCTCTCAGGACTTATTCCCGTGTGCTTCCCCCTTTCCTAAGATTTGGGTTGGCCCAGTAAACCATTTTAAGTGTTTCAGCTCCAAACCTGAGTGTAAAGAAGACCCAATAGTAGTTCAACTTTTGCCTTCTGGAGGAAGCCAGGTGCCATATAAGAAGTCCAACCACCACAGTAAGGTAGCAGAAAGACCACTATGCCAGGATGATTCCAAGCATGTGGAAAGGCTCAAAGGACATAATCAACAATTAGAATCAAGGCCCAGAAAATAGGACCCAAGGTTCTCTTGTAGTCTCAAACTGTGCTAACCATCCCAGCCGATAATATGAGGAACAAGAGGTGCTGTGCTGTTCCTGCTAAGTTGCAAAACTGCAAAATATAAAATGGTTACTGTTTTAAAGCAGCAAGTTTTGAGGCAGCTTGTAACTTAGTAAGAAATAACCCCAAATGGCAATTCATTCACTTCTTTAGAACCAAAGAAGTTCTGAGTCAGTATCAGTCTTGAATAGACCCCCATAAGGAAGGAACATCCACTGGGTTCTGGTAAGGGCTTAAGTCTTTAAGTCCCTAAAGTCTGTGAGACACATTACATGTCCTTCCTTCATGGCCTAGGGGTTAGCTGCTGAAGGTCTAAGTTTGATCCCTGGCCAAGGAATTGACCCACATGACACAGTAGACTTCTCCTGTCTTCTCCTGTCTTCACTCACTGCTCCCCTCACCAGTATATTTCAGTGGATCTGCCTGTTCTGTTCCCCACTGTCTCTGGTAAATTCTCCACCACTGCTACCTCTGACCTACATCCCAGTGCTTTCACACAAAAATAAAATAAAAAAAAATTTAAAAAGATTCCCAAATTCACTTACCTGTAAGTCACAGGCTAGCCTGACTTCCCAAGAGCAGGCACAGTGAGCCAGATCAAGCAGAGAGCCTCAGTTGCATAGGCATCAATCATCACCCTAGTCCTTCAGATTGACCCACTGTAGCATCCAGATGTTTTCGCATTCATCTCACACCTATGGATGCCTACTGTGCACCTGATATTTAACTAAGCAGTGAGAATATAAAGATGTAGAAGGTGCACTCTATCCTTAAGCTTCCAGAATGCAGATAATCTGTACTGGTCAGTCCAAAGAGGGCCAATTGCACAA